AACAAGAACGTGATCAAGTTAATGAGAGAAAAAAAGAAGAAGAAGGGAGCTTGTGACAGGACAAAGAGACCCTTGTAGTTTCTTCTATTTATAGAGAGGACAACAGATCTAAAGCCTAGATTTTTCTTTTGTATCTTCTTACATTGATTTAGTAATTTGGGTTAAACAGTTTTTTGATTAATTTTGGTTATTGTCTTTATATGGTCTGTGTAGGGTTACCTAAAATAGAACTTTACAGTGAAATCCAGAGTGGTAAAAATCAGACATAGTCCAAGTTAGTACATTCAAATTTTTAAACCATTTGCATGATTTAAGTCAATTTCCTTTTTTGTCTTTAGTTGTTTCTTTTACGTATTTAATTTCGGTCATTTCCGAGGCCAACAGCAATCTTCTTCTTATTTTAAAGTCCCTGTCAAGTTCCCAAAAGGCCAAAACTATAGTGTTTGTAAAACGTTCTTACCACTACACGAAGTAATTAGAAACGCATAATTTGGACAAATTTATTGATTTCCACTACAAAATTAAGTTTCATGGTAGCTATAGTATCATTTTTGTGTGTTTGCTTAGTGTCTAAAATTCAATTTTAAAGCATACATTGATACATACATAACGGTAAAATTTGAGTTAAAACAGAAAAAGAAAAAGCATACATACATACATAACGTTAAATGCATGTGTGTATATGTGTCTAATGTATTGAATGCAAGACAAGTACCTTCGTCCCGATTTATCGTTACCTTATTATTAATTTTGGCTCCACCTCAACGACTTACTGAATTTTTGTCTCTTTTTAGTATTAAATTAAAGTAGCTGTATAAGCTTTTACATTTTTTTTTGTTATATATATATATGCTTACATTTGTATGTTTTTTTTACCAATTCATGTAACGGTGATCCTTATGATAATCTTTAACCATCTCTAACCAATCGATATGCCAATGATTATCAATGCTTACTTTAAAAAACTGTAAACGCTATTCCAACAGTGAATTAACGCATCACGTTAAATATGCTTTTTTTTGTTGGTCAATATAAGCCACTTTATAGACTTCAACGATTTTTCAACCCCTTAAGCTCAAATCACCGATTTTACGTAAATCTTTTTTTGTTTTTTTGGTCACACACCGATTTTACGTAATCTAAATATTTATAATTTTCATTTTTTTGGGTGGGGTTTTGAGTTTGGTTATTTAGGGTTCGTCTGAGAGGCTCAGGAGAAAAACCCTAAGAACACGTCACAACAACGCAAAGAGATAGAAAAGGAAAAAAAAGATCTGAATCGTTCATTCCTAGTTGAATCGGACGGTGAAGAGTGAAGTTACCTGGGAACCGGACATGTCGGTGTCAGCGGAAACCAAGCACCAATAACCGATAAAAACAGCCCGGTTTACGAGGAAGAAACGAAAGAGACGACCACTCTTTTTCACTGACCCGCTTACGTCTGTCTCCGGTCCGGTCCCATTTCTTGCCTCACCCTTCATTAAACGCACACAAAGTACAACACCACAATTTACACCTTTT